TATTTATTCCTGGTGGCCAGGAAGAAGAGGGGATGCCTACTAAAAGGATAACTAACCATCTCTGCCCCAGGATTTCTGGGAAGAGGGTTGCCTAAATTGAGATCTGAAGGTTAGTAGGATTCTCAGAAGTTATGTACATGTGTCCTTATAGTAGAAAAACATTCCTGAGGAAAGGAAATGTTCTAGGAATTGAACACTGAGGAGAAACTGTTCTCTCACCAATCATGATTAATCATTGTGTGACGATGTTTGCACTTTTTTTTTTTTAAGGGAAAGAATGCGGTGCAGGTTATTTCAGAGGAAGGTGGGGGTGATGTTAATGATCAGTGCAGTTTTGTGGTTGAACAGGCAGCCAGGAGATCTTCTCAGAAAAGGTGAAGTCTCAGAAAAGATGGCAGGGAGATGTTATTCTTTTCCTAGCAATATTGGCTCAGGTGAAAGCATGTACTCGAGCCAGTTCAAAGAACAGAGCATTTAGGGGCCATCCTAAGGTACAAGCTAAGGGGATAACCCATACGTTTTTGTGCCCCTGGTAGGGTCACATTACCAGTTGCATTCAAATCTTAGAGATATAGTCATGTTCACTAACATGGCACAAATCTGCACACAATATGTTAAATTCACAATATCAGTCTTCTTTGGGGCTTTCCTAATTTTTGTAATGTTCAGCCTTATAAAATCAGTATTTTGTCTAGTTTAAACAAATCTAATAGTAATTCTTGTTTGCTTGTTATTGTGATAAACCAGCAGTTGCCTCAAATAAAAATAACATATGGAACATTTTTAACTTTCTGAAATATAGTATGTTATTTGAGAAAATGTATGTTTTTATGTTTTTCTAATTATTTTCATACTGTCATTTGGTTATGTTTTGGTTCTGCTTTTTATTCCCAAAATGAATGGAAGATACAAATAGTCCAGCCCATTTAAAATTAAGCATGATTTGAAGACATTTTGTCTCTAAAATGACTTTTTCTGGTTTTAATATGAAACACCAAATTTAAAGCTAAAATCAGCTAGAGAGTCTAAGAAAAGCACTGATCTAAATTTATAATTATTTAGGTTCTTACACATTTTTTTTTGTATTACCGCTCAAATAGTATGAAATCATAACATTTTTCCCCAGAGAAAGTGGTTCTATGGTTGGTGGTTGGCAATACAATTTTTATATCATGCATGAGTAGGGGAGACTGAACCATTTAATTCATCTGTGGCTGGTGAGTTTAATAAATGCCAGGCTGGTGAAAGCAACACTTCTAAGTCTTATTTGTCTTGAGATCAGTGTGTCTTAAATTGGCAATTAGGATGGATTACTAAATGGAAGCTGATATTGCAGAGTCATCTTCTTTTCTATATTAGACTTTGAATTTTATGAGAAAAGAGAAATAATTAAAATTTGTGCTCACTAACTTTTTAGTTTGTGACTTCAAGCTAGGTTATAGAATTGCCAATAAGCACATGGTACCATTCAGTTTCTTGAGGTCACTTCTGGCCTGTATAATGTGATTAATCTGATTCTATTTATATGGTTATCTTCATAAATAATAATCAGAGTCTCACAGTCTGTAGCTGTCTGTGGAGGACAGCAAGCATCCATTCCCACTCTGAGTGAATTCATATTTAACTCTGAACCCTGATCAAAGTCAAAACCTCCGTAAAATTTCTAACATTTCTGTTCTGTGTGCCTGTAGCATAAAAGTCCTTGACTTTTATTGCTAATGTAAATTCTACAAATGACTTGTTTTGATTAAAAATAACAGTGAATAAATAATCACACAGAGATCCTGGATCAAACATGTTGTATTTGATCATTTAAGTCCCATCTTCCTTTTGACCAGGTCACAGTTTTGCAGGTAGTTTCATAGATGACTGTTGACTCTCAGATTTACAGGTGCATAGGACACCAAGACATCTATACTATGATGAGAGACGATGCTTTTACTGGTAAACCGGTTGCTGATGGTGAGAGGACTGGGACATCAGTGCTCCTGTGCTTGCATGTGATTAGCTGTGATTGGGAGCACTGGGGGGAATTGAAGGGAGCAGATGATTAGATCATGGGAGAACACGTGAGCAGAAGTCCATACCACTCCTCCGCTTACAACTCTTCAAAATGTCTTCAATAAACATGGAGCACATTGGTAATAAGAAAAAACAACCAAAAGTTATTTTAAAAAGAAAATCCTTCACTGGCTCCTCGTGGCCTATGGGATAAAGTGGAAGTGCCTAAACGTGAACTTGAGCCTCACCTGTATACTTCCCGACTCATCTTTAGCCATGCCCAGCCTTCAACCCTAGGCTGCCGTAATGCTCAAGTGCTTCTTGCCTCTTTTCTTCTTTTCTCTGTGCAATGTCTTTCCTCCATGCCTCATGCTCATGCTGTCCTCTCTCTGCCTTCAATCCCTTTCCCACCCCTCACCTGATCCCATGCTAGGGCAGGGGCCTCTCTCCAATGTGCTCTCATAAACTCTGAGCATCGCACCTCCTCTTATCTACTATTATTTGTTCCTATGTGTCTATTTGTTCCCCTCACTAGACTCTATCATCAATACCAGACACATAGAGGGCAACCAGTACAAGTTTGACGAATTAATAACTAAGTGTTTTGGTGCATAGTAGGGTATAGAAAATAACTTTAAGTGATCACAAAAGTATAGTCATTTGATCTATTATCTGTTTACTACCAGAAATGTGCATTAGCACATAGGAAACTGAAACAATTTTGCCAATAGGTAAGCAGATTTATATAAATGTGGTCTGATTCTCCAAGTCTTGCTGTAAGCTTTAACAAGTTGTTGGTATCGTGGGCTCTTTTGGTAAACTTTTTGAGAGATGTACCAACCAGTGCTATTTGGTATGTGTTTTTTGCTTTTACTCTAATGTCAAGTCAGGGGGAGAAGCTTTGTGTACTTGCTTTGGTAAACTGATTCTGAGTGTCTCATTTCCTCATGTGCACGAGATGCACAGAAGTGCACTTAATGGATGTCTGCTGCAGTGTGAGGTAAGGATGCTATTCTTAAAGTCTGAGCTTCCAGAGTAAATTTTTTAAATAGGATTAGAGTTTCATAGCTAATATAAGAATATATATATATATATATATATATATATGAGTCAGATTCAAAAACAGCAACAAACATAGAATATTAGACCTCAAAGTTATTCTAGACCATTTAATCTTTTGCTTTACAGATAAGGAACTAATGTCATCATGGGTGAATGATGATTCCCTGAAGGCATCAGCGCAAAAATTCTGGTCACTTGATTCTTATTTTGGGGTAAATGTGAATTCTCAAGCAAGGAGAAGTATATAGAGACCTTACAGTTTGCCAGGAAGATTTCTGCTCATGCTACCTTGGGTAACAAGCCTTATTAATAAAGCCAAAACAGTACCCAAAGGCTTTGCTGTTGTGTCCAGCAATCCTGTGGCCTCTGCTCCCCTGAGCCTGTCTCCTCCCGTCTCTAGGCAATGAGACTCCAATTGGGTCCCTGACTTGGGAAGCCTTTGGCACAAACATCCATATTGGATCTTATTTGTTGTAGCCAAAGTAAGACAGTTTTGGTCAGTACATAGAACTTTGCAACCTAGAGCAGGCATATGCAGGGAAAACCTCCTAAGGCTTCTGCAGAAGCAAAGTGGGCTTTCAGATAGGTACAGGCCCTTTGAGCTTTCTGGACCTCACCAGTATGGAGAAGGAAAGACATTTGTATGGATAAATATGGGATGGGGAAGACAAACTACATCACAGTTAAATTCAAATTGGGTTCGTTTATAAATGGAGGTAAATGCTCTGCCTGTAAGAAACTACTCACAAATACTGTTGTGTGGCCTTTGGGCAAATCAGTTGAACACTATCAACATCATTTTTCTTATCTTAAAGGAAAGATGATAATGATACTTACCTTGTCCGCTTGTGCATATCGGTGACCATATATGTTAAATGACCATCCATATGTAGATAACTATTACTATTATTACCTCTATAATAGTAAGATAATATAATAATACTATAATATAGTAGTCATAATGACGACTACTATAATTATTTTTACAACTACTGGTACCTAACACTACTTGTACTACTCCTATTGTTACATACCAATAGTTTGTATTATAATTAAGTAGTCTTCTCTGCTCAGACTATAGGAGAGAGTTCTACAATTTATTTGCAAGAAGCTATAGTTCTTTTACTGTGTAATGGTTAAGATCAGGGCTTTGTGGAAATTAACACTACTTCCTAGAGGTAACATCTTAGACAAGTTATTTAACTTGTGTGCCTCAATGATCTCATTTGTAAAATGGGGATAATACATTCTATCACACAAAGTTCTTATGAAGATTAAATGAGGTAATCTAAGTACTGCTTAGAACAGTGCCTAGCACACAATGATCTAGCAAGAAATATTCTCTATTAAGCTATTAATGTATTGATATGTATTTCTTTATTATGATCTAGCAAGAAATATTCTCTATTAAGCTATTAATGTATTGATATGTATTGCTTTATTATAACCACCTTGGGAGGGAAGAGACATCATTATCTTTGTTTCATGGATATTGAAACTCAGGTTTCTGATTTGCTGTGTTTACTAACATAGCAAAGCTGGGAGAGATTCAAAGAGCCTCCTGCCCTTTCTTCCTTCTTTTCTTTCCTCCCCTCCTTCCACATATCCTTATTATTGGGCTGGAATGGGAAGCCATAATGTCCTTCCAGTTGATTGGAATTAGCACATCTGATTCTTTTTTAAATTTCCTTTTCCCTCCTGCCCCACATCCCTGCCAGAGCACTTGTAAGAAAGTACTCGCTCACATATCTTGTTCCCATTGAAGTAAAATCATATTATGCTTCTGTTTTTTGCCATTAGTCTATTACTATTAGCTGTCATATCCAAAGTCCCAAGTTCTTTATCTGAACCCTCATACTTGAGAAATTGACAGGGTCAAGGAAATAAGAACCACTGTTTACATAAGTGTTTATTGGACTTTCTTTATCATCTTTCAGGTCTTGTAGAAATTTGCCTGATGCACCCCCTCGACGTGGTAAAAACCAGGTAAGGTTCTGCATGAACAAGTTTTATTGACTTTGGCTAATATCCAAATTAAGATCTGCCAGAGCACTAAATGCTAGGACTTGTCCCAGGCCAGTAGCTTCTCTCTATAATGGCAGTTATATTTGCTTCTAAAGAAAGTAGTATTTGAAAGATAAAAAGTGAACAGTGAAAAGCATTTCTGGATGGAGGTCATCTGAAGTATGTAATATTTTACTGCCTTTGCATGACAACCATAAGGTATGATTTGTAGCTATACTGGCAAATGAGGTAAATTTATCAAAATGATGTAAAAACTAAACTTTATCCAGTGAATTATGACAGCACATTTTCATTTGGCATTGTATAACAAATCTCTATTTAATCGTCAGCATTTTGGTATGAGACTTCAAAATTTCAAGTAAGCTTTTTACATAGTGCTTAAAGAATTTATTCCCATCACTATTTGCCAATCCAAAAGGCCATATTTTCAGGAAACTGCAGGGGCATAATATGGTCAATACAAGCCAGGGCAATGTATTAAATGTATTTACCAAGAGGCAAAAAAATAATAATAATAAAAATAACACAACTTTGTAGGGTATAATACGATCCAGAGAATTTTTAAAAAGTTAAACCTGTGGCTGAATTACTGAACTTTCTATTTTTTCAAATTGGAAGCTCTTGGAGTCTAGTGAAAGTTTTCACTTATTTGCATTGTATGAAACCCAAGAGCACCATGCCTAGGTTGGAGCCTAACAGCCAACAATGCTATGCAACAATGGTGGTTAAAGAAACCATTCCTGCCTCAATTAGGAAATATTTGATGATTCAGAGTGGGCATTGGATGGACGTGTTACTTATTAGGCAGTAGAATCTTAGGCTGGTTGCTGCAAGCAAGAGAAGGTGACTGTGGCGTACAAAAATAATATTACATTTCTAAGAGAGGTAGAGAAGATGGGAATTTGGCTTTTGTCTTAGCTGGAGCTACTGTAACAAAATATTATAGACTGGATGGCTTAAACAACAGACATTCATGTTTTACAGTTTTGGAGGCTAGGAATTCCAGGATTAAGGTCTTGGCTGATTCAGTTCTTAGTTAGGGCCTCGTCCTAACTGTAGAGGGCCTCCTTCTTACTGTATCCTTACATGGCAGACAGAGGAAGCTGTATTGTCACTTTTTCTTCTTATAAAGTCATTAATCCCATCATGAGGGCAACACCCTCATCACCTCATTTAAACCTAATCATCTTCCAAAGACCTCACCTCCAAATACCATCACACTGTGGGTAAGCGCTTCAACATACGAATTTTGGAGGGATACAAACATTCAGTTTGTAACAGCCTCAAATCACTAAACTCAAAGAGAAAGAAGAAAACCAGGGGGCCTGGCACAGTGGCTCATGCCTATAATCCCAGCACTTTGGGAGGCTGAGGCAGGTTGATCACCTGAGGTCAGAAGTTTGAGACCAGCCTGGCCAACATGGTGAAACTCCCTCTCTACTAAAAGTACAAAAATTAGCCAGGCATGGTGGCACACCCCTGTAATCCCTGCTACTTGGGAGGCTGAGGCAGGAGAATCACCTGAACTTGGAGGTGGAGGTTACAGTGAGCTGAGATCACACCACTGCACTTCAGCTTGGGCAACAGAGTGAGACTCCTTCTTAAAAAAAAAAAAAGAATCATATTACGATATGTGCACCTCTGGGCCATCTTTATTACAAAGTTCAGAAACAGCAAAACTCCCTGGAATTTCCTTCTTAGATTTCATGTTAACCTTTTTTGAGAAGCCAGAATATTGTTGCTAATCTCACTGATAAAATAATCTTTTTCATTTAAGGGTAGTTTTCTAAATTAGTAAACTGTTCCAATGAACACAGAGGATAAATAAGAATGATTTAATCAAGACATGTTATTAGAATTATGGTCACTCATCACTCAATATTTTATTCATCCATTCAACAGATGTGTATTGAGCAACTAGTGTGTGTGGGTTTCACGATAGCTCTGCCCTCAGGGAGCTCACAGTCTGATTAGCTAATTGGGATCTCATCACAGTGAAGATTTAAAAACTGTATCATTTTTTGTACTGGAATTGAATTGAAAATTTCTTGAAATGAATATAAGTTATTGGGGCTTTATATCTTCCTTGTTACATAAATATTTTCATTAAAATGCCATTCATTCATTAGAATTAGTCACATGACTTTGTCTAACTTCAGCAGGGAGGAAGATAATAATCCTTCCAGGTTCTTTGAATGAGAGAGGAATTGGATACTGGGTGATATTTGACCTGCATAATGAAAAGTCTATTGAATAAAGACTCACAATCATGGAATAAATTGAAAGCCACAAATATGGGCAGCTGACATTGCAACAGAAGTAGAATATGCAAGATTGATAGGACTTATCACCCAGGCAGTAACAGAGAGGTGACATCAAATGGGCAGGAGCAGACTCACCTGTGGGAACCTCTTCACCATCATATTATACAGGAGATGACTATGTTTCTAAATAGAAATAAAGTCATACCCAGGTAATGGTATTGATCATTTATAGAGTTTAAAAAATCCACTTGAAAGAAGAGTTAAGAACCTGTTGTTATTCATTCAGCAAGAAAAAGATTAGGCACAAATGAAACCCAAAAGGAAGACTAGACTCCAAAAAGTAGACACATTTCTTTTGCCATACTCCAGCACATGAGACATTGTGGAAATTGAGCCATATCCATATTTGGATTAATTCAGGGTACTACTCCTTAAGTAATAAAATCCAATTAAAAAAAAAACTGTGCAGTAAGATTTGGCTTCATGTATCCCAGGCCCCACTTTGACAATGCCTGCCAGAACTTAGAATCCAGTACTCTCAGAATATTGTGTCATTTAAAAAGTGACCTGCTAAAATCACCAATGCTAAGTGGTTTCGTGTATTATGTCTTACCATTTATGGTTTATGTTATTCATTTTCTTATTTATCAGAACAGTAAGTACATGTAAATTGCATCAAATTCAAATAATACTCCATGCATTGTGTCAATTAAGACAGGTGAGGTTGTGTGGCTGTAAACTCAACAACAAACTCAAAATCTCAGCAGATAACAAAAACAAGGATTTCATGTCTGATACAACTGGGTGTCTTCGTCTGTCTAGGCTGCTAAACTGGGTAACTTAGAGACAGCAGAAAATTATTTCTCACAGTACTGGAGGCTGAGAAGTCTAAGATCAAGGTGCTGGCAGATTTGATGTCTGGTAAGGGCCTGTTTCTTGGTTTAAAGGGTGCCCTCTTGCTGTGTCCTCACCTGGTGAAAGAGCAAGGCATCACTCTGGGGTCTCTCTTATAAGGGCACTAATCCCATACCTGAGGGCTCTACCCTCATGACTTTCTAAAAGCCCCACTCCTGCTGCCATCATCTTGGAAGGTTGGGTTTCACCATATGAATTTGTGGTGGTTGGGGAGGGGGGAACAAATATTCAGACCTTAGCCAGGGGACACTCTGCTCAGACTGAAAGAAGCTCTGTTTGCACACATGCTTTCCCCATCCCTGTGGCAGGAAGAATAGTGCTGAACGGTCCCACCTGGTGGTTAGAGCTCTGAATACACATGTCCTTTTCACCCAGACTATCATTAGAAACTAGCCACTTGACCACACCTGGACAACCAGAAGGAGAAGAAATATGATACTCCTACTTACCTGAAGGAAGGGACATGGTGTCAGTGTGCAATAGGCATGTCTTTTCCAAACCTTATAGGCAGGAACATTGTTTCCTTACCATGTTCTCTCCACCCACCAATTTCCATTCCAGAGGTAAGGACTTTTGACCTTTAGCTGATTCTGTTTGTAATTCACTTGAACATTTCTAAATATTATACTTACACTGGTTGTATTGAGTTGGATAGTGTCACTGCCCCAATTCACATTCTTCCCAGAACCTCAGAAGGTGAATTTATTTGAAAACAAGGTCTTTGTAGATGTAATTATTCAAGTTAAGAGGTGGCCATATGGAATAGGGTGTGCCCTAAGTCCATTATGACTGGTGTTACAAGAGCAAGAAAAGAGACTCACAGAAAGAGACATGATGTAAAGATGACCAGATGATGTCTTCTCTGGTGGCAGAGATTAGAATTCTGCAGCAAGCCTATGAATACCAAGGACTGCTGACAATCCCCAGAAGCTCAGAGAGAGGTATGGACCATATTCTGCTTCAGAACCTTTTAAGAGGAGCCAACCCTGATGACACCTTGATTTTAGACTTCTGGCCTTCTGAACTGTGGAAGAATACATTTTTGTTGTTTTAAGCCATAGGGTTTGTGGGTAGTTTGTATGCCGGAAAATGAATACACCACTATTTCTTAATTTGTCAACTGTAAATGTTATTTATGACAGCTAGAATTACACAATGGCCCTATTTCCCCTTCTCACATCTGTCCCATTATTGATCCATAATCAATTGTTTGCATTATTTTGACTACACATTGTTCACTGCTGAACCAAGTAGTGCTCAAGGATTTATTTTTCTGGAGTTAATTATTGCCTCATATTTTCATTCTTCAGTTCCCTATATGGCTATTGTTAATTGCAATCTCTTCCTAAATGTTTCTTCACATTCCTTTTCCCTACTATTTCAACATTGTCAAACTCTTAGCAGGTAATGTGGTGGGGCTTGTTGAAGGTGGAGTTTTGGCAATTACTTGGTTTTTTTGTTAGGTCCTCTTTCATCTCTCTTCCAGTATCAAAATTTAAATGTCTTTTCTGGGGATACTGTTTCTCCAATGAAGAATCTTTCAATCAAGTTTGTGTTGGGGGGAGGGTCCCACTGTTAAGGATGAAAATATTCTCATCATCCTCTTGTTTCTGGTATGGGGCCACTCTCCTGCCCTCTGCTGTACCTAGCGGCTCCCCGTCTGAAGCTGCTCTTATCCAGTCTCCAAAGAGTAAGCCTCAGGTCTTTAGTGTGAGGTGGGAGAGAAAACACACATGGACTTCAAGCAGTGCTCTTGCTTTGAGTTACATATTCTCATTTTTC